GGGCTCCCTGCTCAGCGGGGAGCCTGCTTCTCCCTCTCCCACTCCCCCTGCTTGTGTTCCCTCTCTCACTGTGTCTCTCTCTGTCAAATAAATAAATTAAATTTAAGAAAAAAAGAAAGAAAGAGAGTCTGAAGATGTGAACAGTGTGTACCAAGGTCACGCTAAGTGAGTTTTGCAGCCCCCAAAGTCAGGGGCGGGTGAGCTAAGCAAACACAATCAATACTCATTTGCCTGGAACCAGACGGGTATTTTTGTGCTCATCTTTAGGAGATGGGGACGAATGGGCATGATACAACTGCATCTAGCTAATTTATCCAAAAAGCAACTAAACCAACAGCATAATATCAAGTACTTCATGTGCAAAGATGATGCTAAGTCCTGTTAGAAACTACAAAGGTACTAAGCAAGATCCCCACCCTCAAAGAGTTGACCAGATTGTTGATGAAACAGACCTACTAAAAATAAAAGATGGAATTAAACAATCGAATCACATAGCTGTTAAGGACTGGTATCCACTAAAAGGACTGAAGGATCTACAGGCAGGAAGACCTGATGGGGTACTTGGAAGGTTTTGTAGCAAGCTGGAGTTTTGGCCGGATCTTGCAGACTGGGTTGAATCTGGGTCAGTGGAGAGGAAGAAGAAAAGCGGGGGTGTGTGGGAGCCAGCTGACACCGTCTTGTGAGATCTGGTGGTTACCTTTTTCAGGAATATTGTTAAATGCAGCCATTTGTTAAATGCAGCCATTACTAAAAATTAAATTATAAAACCTTAAATAAAGTACACCCTTTAGATTAATTTATATTTATAATATATTACTTAATATTATAATAGATAATATAGAATTAATATATAATTGAACATTATCTAAATAAACACTCAGAACTCATTGCTTCTTCATTATTTTACTGCCTTTTACTGTAATCTATGCTCTTCAGGGTATTTACATCTATGGTATCTATATGGTTGACATACCATATAATAATACACAGCATTAATATATATTATACACATAATATATATATTATATAATGTGCTACTGCACAGCTCTTCCAAATTTCTTCCATGCTGGGAGCATTTACAGTGCAGAAATCTGCCCATATTATGAATCAGGGCTTGATCTATTGCTTTTTTGGTTGTTTAGACTTAAGAAAGTAATGGAAAAATCTTAATAATGCAGATTCAACTTTAAAATATATCATATTGGGGGGGCTCCTGGCTGGCTCAGTTGGAAGAGCAAGCAACTCTAGGCCTTGGGGTTGTGAATTTGAGCCCTGTGCTGGGTGTAGCGATTACTTAAAAATAAAATCTTAAAAAAAATCATGTTGGTAGTTGGCACCAAAAACTTGAAGAAATCTTCTAGCACTTGAAAATTGTTATGTGATTCAGCAAAGTCCCTCAAGCCATTGATGAACAGTAATGTCCTAAAACACTTATTTATGTAAAAAAAAATATGTCAACCAATACTCACAGCAGAACTAGAGTGAGAAAGCCAGTTATGAAACATTCACCAGCACACCACTGGAGGAAGGCCACTTCATAAAGAAGTAACAGCATGTGCAAAATGGCAGAAGCTGAAACACTCATAGTGAAGGGGATAGTGTGGTGTGATAGGAATAATGTGATGACCTATAGTCCTGGGTTCAAATCCCAGTTCTGCTATTTACTAACTGGGCGAACTTAGGGGGACTGCATAACATTACTGAGCCTAGTGTTGTCACATGTAAGATAGATGATAAAGACAACCATACCATGCTGTTAGGAGAATTAGGAAGAATATAGTTTTAAATGCCTCAGACAGTGCCTGGGGTGTCTGGGTGGCTCCGTCGGTTGAGCGTCCGCCTTTGGCTCAGGTCATGATCTCAGGGTCCTGGGATCAAGTCCCACATCGGGCTCCCTGCTCAGTGGGGAGCCTGCATCTCCCTTTCCCTCTGCCCCTCCCCCCGCTTGTGCTCTCTCTGTCTCTCTCTCTCAAATAAATAAATAAAATCTTTAAAATAACAAAAAATAGGGCACCTGGGTGGCTCAGTCGGTTAGGCGACTGCCTTCGGCTCAGGTCACGATCCCAGGGTCCTGGGATCGAATCCCACATAGGGCTCCCTACTCTGTGGGGAGCCTGCTTCTCCCTCTCCCACTCCCCCTGCTTGTGTTCCCTCTCTCTCTGTCTCTCTCTCTGTCAAATAAATAAATAAAATCTTAAAAAAAATAAAATAAAAAATAAAATAAAATAACAAAAAATAAAATAAATGCCTCAGTGGCTGATGCATATCACATACCCAATACAGATACTAATTTATAGTACAGTCTTGTAAAACCCACAGAAAATAGTTTGAGAAATGGATTTATTTAAGGGTTGGGTGGAAGCATCATGTCTTGATTTCCAGGCAAGGAATGTGGAATTTACTATATAAACATGGGTGGGTCCCTGAAGGTTTCCGAACAGGACAGAAGGGACGTGAAATGCACCACGGGACAATGGAGATGGCAGTCGTTTATGTCCCAACCCTTCCTTCTACATGGACATCTAGTGCAGTGCTGAACTATAATTTTGGTATTAGTATACCTCAGAATGCTCTAATTCTTTAGAAATGTATAATGTATATCTAGTAGCTATTGTAATGCCCAGTGAAGCAAGAACACCGGACCCACCCTCCCTATTTGTCCTCCCTGTCAGTCTTTCACTGGATTGCCAAAACCCGTGGTTCTACTTCCTTAACCTCTATCTATTTGCTCCAAACCTTCCCCATGGTCTTGCCTTAAGTCAGTGGTTCACAGCCTTGACCTCACACTGGAATCACCGAGAGAGCATTAATAAAACTGAGCCAGTGTCTGAGTTCTGCTTCCAAAGACTGCGGTTTAGTTGGTCTGAGGTGGGGTTTGAACACGGATATTTTGTTTTTGTTTTTTTTGAACACGGATATTTTGAAAGCTCCCAAGGACTCTACCACGCACCCATGCCTTAGTCTATGCTCTGATTGTTTCTCATCTGAATCACTGCATGAGACATCTGCCTGGGCCTCCTGCCTCCAGTGTTGACTTCTTCAAATCCCTTCTTCAACCTGCTTTCAGAATGATCCCTCAAAAACACTCATCATGCCACTCTTGCCTGAAAACTCTCCAGTATCTCCTCAGTTTCTACCCAATGAGCCCAAGCTCATTGACACCAACCTTCTTTAACAACACACACACAAGCTCTAGTGAAAGGGTTATGACAACTCCAAGGGATAAAATTTGAACCAAAGTGATCTAGCCTGGGAAAGATGTTGCAAATTCAGATGTTTAAAGATATTTCCTAAACACTTTGTTCAAATATCCAGCCCCATGTAACTGCTGTGCCATGCTGAATGCCACAGAGAGTTGGGGGAGGGGGGAACAAGTCCAAGCACAGAAGTAGCACTCAGCCCCTGGGTTCCATGGCACAGTGTGGGGAGATGGGAAGCAAGGATAGCTCAGCAGAGCCCAGGAGAGCCTGCTCAGTTCAACTTCTGACTCCCAACACGTTATCTGATTTCCCTCCTGTTATGGACTGATTTGTGCCCCTCCCCCAACTTCAGATGTTGAAGTCTAAACCCCCCAGGACCTCAGAATATAACCTCATTTTTGAGATAAGATCTTTTGAGAGATAATCCAGTTAAAATGAGATCATTAGGGTGGGTGCTAATTCAGTATGATGGGTATCTTTATAGAAAGGGGACACCTGACGACAGGCGCGCAAACAGGAGACACCGTGTGAAGATAGAGGCAGAGATCGGGGTGATGGTTCGACAAGACAAAGAATGCCAGACACTGCAGCAAACCACCAGAAGTTAGAGGAGAGGCCGGGAACAGATTCTCCCTCAAATCCCTCAGAAGGAGCCAACCCTGCCAACCCCTCCATCTTGGACTTTGACCCCCAGGACTCAGAGACAATAAATTTCTGTTGTTCAAACCACCCAATTTGTGGTATTTTGTGGTGGCCAACCAAGCAAAGTAATACAACTCCCAAGTCAGCTTCTTGACCTACCCCTGCCTATCTCTCCAGCCACATCCACCTCTCACCCCCAGGCTTCATAACGCAGCCATATCAATTGACTTCAAGTTCTCTGGATGTAGCATGTTCCGTGCCTCTGGGCCTGTGCCCATGCTGCATCCTCTACCTGGAGTGCCCACTCCCAGCCCCCTCCAGCTGCAGGGTACCCAGGAGTCCTGGAATGCTCAGCTCAACCCTCCCTTCTTCCGTTTCCCTGGTCACTAAGCTCTTCTCCCTGCCAGCCAAACTTCCACAGAATTAGCCACTCGTCCACTACTGCTGTTTGGACCCAACATCCGTCCCCACGGCCTCAGCTCCGTCTCTTCCTCCAGCCACTGCTGCAGCTACTAGCGTCAACCCCACGTCAACCAGCTGCACACAGGCGTGATCTGACTGCCCCTCTCCTCGGCCCATGCTGCTTGGCCCAGGCCTTCTCTGATGCCAAGAATGGAAACCCACAGAAACCAACTAGACACACGCATGGGCCAAATGGAAGAAATACAGGGGAGGTGAACACTCTCGGGCTACCCAAGGATAAAGTTGCCCTTTCATCCCCTGTGCAGGACGTTCTGACTCACTTTTCATCAAGGTCCTTAGAAATCCCAGTGAACTGAGCACCAGTGGCTGTCACACTGGCCCACTCCGCAAGCATCCTTGCACACTGGCTTTCTCTCCTTCCCTGTTTCACTCCCTTGGTCCCTCCCTTTCTACTGCTCCCTTGAATTATTTCCAAATAAAATGCCTACAGGCATGTGTCTATCTCAGGCTCCATGTTCTGAGAAAGTCTAAGACATTGTGTTTATTTTGTATTGGATTAAACCCATGAAACTGCCAATATTTGACCATTCTTGGCCTATAAAAATAGCAATTTCATATGGTCTGACTAGTGACTGTTCATTTGTATTTATGTCTTTTCCAACAGAATAGAAACTTCTTGAGGTCAGGGGCAGTATCATGCATTTCTCATCCCCAACATCAACTACTGTGGCTGATACCCAGTGGTCCCTTGATAAATGTTGAATGAGTATGTAGTGATCTTCTTGATGTAGGTAAGGAAAAGATTAAGGGAAGGATTCTTCCTTAAGTTGACCTCTACCTCACATTTTACATCAAATTAAATCAATATGAATGAAAGATTTAAATATAAAAAAGAAACAATTTTTTTAAATACTAAGAAAAAATGTATAGCCTAGTGGTGGAAACAGTTATTCAAACCAAAATTCCAAGGCAGAGTGGGAAGGGCTCCACTAACAGAAGTACAGAGTGCTAGAAATGCATCTAAGTCAAGCTTGGGGTTCCCAAGGAAGAGACCTCTAACCTGAGCTCTGAAAGACAAGTAGAAATTAGCCAGGGCAAGGGCCGTGAGAAGGGTGTTCCAGGCATAGGGAAGAGCCCGGGTCCCCTGGAAAAAATGAAAGCAATGGTCTTGAAGCTCTCCCTATAGATACTAACTGACCCATGGGAATTAAAATACCTTGCTTTGGGGAAGGGATGCCAAGTCTCTTACAAACAGCAGCTGTCTCAACATCACTCATCATCAGGAAATACAAATCAAAACCACAAAGACATACCATCTCACACCTGTCAGAAGGGCTAAAATTAACAACACAAGAAATAACAGGTGTTGGCGAGGATACAAAAAAGGGGTATTCTCTTGCACTGTTGGTGGGAATGCAAGCTGGCGCAGCCACTGTGGAAAACAGTATGGAGGATCCTCAAAATGTTAAAAATAGAACTACCCTATGATCCAACAATTGCACTACTAGATATTTACCCAAAAGATGGAAAAAAAATACAGAGGTGCCTGGGTGGCTCAGTCAGTTAAGCATCAGCCTTTTGCTCAGGTCATGATCCCAGGGTCCTGGGATCGAGTCCCACATCGGGCTCCCTGCTCAGCGGGGAGCCTGCTTCTCCCTCTCCCTCTGCCCCTCCCGCTGCTTGTACTCTCTTGCACTCTCTCTCTGTCAAACAAACAAATAATTTTTTTAAAAGATTTAAAAAAATACAGATTCAAAAGGATACGTGCACCCCAATGTTTATAGCAGCATTATCAACAATAGCCAAACTATGGAGAGAGCCCAAGTGTCCATCAACTGATGAATGGATAAAGAAGGAGATTTGTATATACACAAATATATATATACATATATATATATGAATAATATTACTCAGCCTTCAAAAAGAATGAAATCTTGCCATTTGCAATGACAGGATGGAGCTAAAGGTATTATGCTAAGTGAAATAAGTCAGTCAGAGAAAGACAGATACCATATGATCTCACTCATATGTAGAACTTAAAAAAGAAAACAGATGAACATACGGGAAGGGGGAAAAGAAAAAAGGAGAGAGGGAAACAAGCCATAAGAGACTCTTAATGATAAAGAACAAACCGAGGGTTTCTGGAGGGAGGTGGGTGGGAGATGGGCTAGAGGGGTGATGGGTACTAAGGAGGGCACTTGTTGTGATGAGCACTGGGTGTTACATGGAAGTGATGAATCACTGAATCCCACTCCAGAAATCAATATTGCACTATATGCTAACTACCTAAAATTTAAATTTAAAAAAATATGCATTTATTAAGTAAATAAATAATAAATTAAAAATTAAAATAAAGCCAAAACAAAAACCAGCAGCTGTTTTCTTGGGGCAGGAGCTCAGAGTTAGACTCAGAATTAGTCCATGCTCTCTTGATGGGGGTGGACTGGGATCCCCATGTGAGGTAAATGGTTGCTGGATGCCCAGGGTTATTGTAATCTCAGTCCACACACTGGCCCTGGCTGTGACAAGTAACAGGAAAACTGGCCTGGCCCACACGTGAAGGGGCATCCTGACTCCACGGTTGGACCCTGCACCAAATATACATTTATAAACACTCTCCATTCTCTTTTGAGGTCTTGACAGAGAACTGCTTGCTTGGTAAGTCACCCCACTGTGGATGACACCCCAGGAGCTATTCAATCACATGACCCAGCATGGCTGACAAACCGGATCTCACACGGAGCCACATAACAGGGAATAAAGCAGGTTCACTCTTTATTTTTCAGTCTAGAATTAAGCTAATTAGAGACTCTGGGCACTACGTTTTATGGTCTGTGATAATCAAAATCTTTCCCCTACATAAAATCCAGTGTTTATATCATGTTTACCCTAATGGATTGTTCTACACAATAAAAAGATGGTTCTTTACAACTTGATAACTGAAGATAACTTTTAAAATTTTCCTGTTCTGGGGTGCCTGGGTGGCTCAGTCGTTTAAGCGTCTGCCTTCAGCTCAGGTCATGATCCCAGGGTCCTAGGATTGAGCCCTGCATCGGGCTCCCCGCTCAGCTGGAAGCCTGCTTCTCATTCTCCCACTCCCCCTGCTTGTGTTCCTGCTCTCACTATCTCTCTCTCTGTCAAATAAATAAATAAAATCTTTAAAAAAATTTTTTTTAATTTTTCCTGTTCCAAGAACCAGGCAAATTGAATCAATTTATTTCATTTTATAATAATAATAATGCAGGGTTTCACCATATATCTTTAAAATCCACCTTAAGTAATAAAGTATGTTTTTGCCATGAAATCCTTCAAAACAAGACAAAGTGAAGTGACTAAACACTATGACATTCTCAAGAGGACCAATGAGTATACACCATGTCCCGTTCAAGAACAGGAGTAATTGAATACGAGTCCCGATAAGAGATTTTATGGGAAGCTCCTCATTTGTCATTTGTAATAATGAGGAAAAGTCACTTAGCTTCAGAAACTTGGTCTGTCACTAGAGGGTAGGCATAAAAATGCCCATGGTTTTTAAACCATCTATTTCAAAACACCTGTCTTCGGTCACTTATCTACTTTTTTCCGACATCTGATAGGATAAATTGGAAGAAACTGATCAAATAACATTATCAGTAATATGCCCAGGAAATGTCTATAGTCATATATTCCCCAAGTTACAGCTGTGCATTATTTATGACTTGTGTCAAAAATGCCTTGGGACTTTTGCTTCTCAATTCCACAGCAGTTTATTGCCCCAAAATTGTGCCCCTGTTTTACACCAAGATCCACAGCAATAAAGCAAGAAATCAGAAAAATCAGCATTTGATATCCACAGCTTAGCATTCTCTGCGACCTGGTACAACCGGAAGATCACAGAAAGGGTCTCAGTGACCTTGCAGTAGCTGCAAATCACTGTGATCTGAATTATAATGGTCTCTTTTCCAATAATACATTACAGACTCTGTGTACTTAGGCGTCCTCAGGATTTCTCAGTAGGAACCAAAAATGTCCCGGCACACACCGCATTTTTCTTATCACACAGCTTCCATCAATGCATCCATGACCTTTTTTTTTTTCCATGATCTCTTTAAAGCACAATAAAGGGCACACCTATGCATTGTGCCCACATTTACCCACAAGTGCTCAGATAGATACATAAGCCAATAAATCCTAAATAACTAAATAAAAGAACTAAAATTCTTATGCAAGGGGTGAATGCATGGCTGCTCATGTTCAAGATCTGTCCTAATAGAAACCGAGTGAGAAACCAAACAAAAGCAAGCTGGTGGAGGTCAGCTGTGAAGGTCAGGGAGATGAAGGGGCTGCCACGGCAGCCGGTAGCAGACAGCACCAAAAGGAGACCCACTGAGACCCTTGGCATTAGCTGAGAATGAGTCCCCGGACCATCAGGGGTCCCCATATTCAAGCAAGTCTCTATAGGATAGGATTCCTCCATAAAAAGCAATAAAATACCAATAGAATAGCAATGCCCTTTCAGACCCACGTAAAGAACAACAAAGCCACACTGAAATGTCAATGCCCATTGCCGGGAGTCCTGCTGGGGAGCTAGCCAGACCCCAGGGTTCCCATCCTCCATCCTGCCCCCCCGAAAACACAGGCCTTCCCCCCAGCTTTCTCACAGCCTGAATGATTCACTCACAGCA